GGCCCAGGTGTGCGGGAGAGGCCGCCCAGCCCAACCCCCCCCCACCCAGTGTCCCCCTTGAACCCTAAAACAGGGACCCCCAGGGGGTCAAAACCACCCGAGACCCCCCAAAAAAAGGGGCCAGGGGCTCCCTACAACGGACCCAAGGTCTGGGACCCCCAAAAATGGACTCGGGGCTACCCCAACCCCTCATCCATAAAAGAACCCACAGGTGTCCCCCCTCCCGCAAAGGTATCCAAAAGTCCGAGACCCCCCCCAAAAACAAATCCAAGCCCCCCCGAGACTTTTCTGGGCCATCCTGGCCCCCCTGAGACCCCTCCCCAGGATCCCCCCCCGAGCCCTCACCTTGATGCTCCAGCAGTGATGGCGGAAGGGGCTGCGGGGCCGGGGGGCCATGGGGGCTCCGTGCAGGATTTTGGCCGCGCGTTTGGCCGCGCGTTTGTCCCGAAATTCCACCCAGCCCTCGGCGAACGCCACGGCCGGGGGTCCCCCCGGGCGCTGCCGCCGCCGCCGCACGGAGCCTCCTGGGCAGGGAGAAAAAGGGGTGAGACCCCCACCCAAGGGTGCTGGACCCCCCACCCAAGGGTGCTGAACCCCCCCTCCGTGGTTTAGGAGGAGTCCTGACCCCAAAATTCTGTATCTTGGGGGGGGGGGACACCCAGCCCCTCTCCAGGACCCCCCCCTTGCTGGGGGTCTGCGGGGCACCCTGACCCCCCCCAGGGACCCCCTGACCTCCCCCAGGGCCACCCTGACCCCCCCAGGGACCCCCTGACCTCCCCAGGGACCCCCTGACACCCTCCCAAAAGCCTTCAGGACCCCCGGACTCACCGCGGGGCTGCAGGAAGACCCTGCCCAGCTCCCCGTGCGGCCGCAGCAGCGCCCGGGCCTGGCGGGGGCCGAAGCCCGGGGGGAGGAAGGACAAATAAAGGACCCCCGGTACCACCGGCTTGGGAGGGGGCTCGGAAGGGGCTTCGGCAGCGGGGGAGCCCTCGGGACCCTCCTCTTCCTCCTCCTTTTCTTCCTCCTTCTCTTCTTCTTCCTCCTTTTCTTCCTCTTCTTGCTCTTCCTCCTCTTCTAACTCTTCTTCCTCCTCCTCCTCACCCCTCCCGTGCGGGTCCCGCTTGGCCCCGGCCATGGCCCCTGCGATGCGCAGGAAGGAGTTAAAGGGAGGCGACCACCCCCAGGGCCCCCCCGCCCCTCTCCAGGCTCTTCCGCATCCCCGAATTCCCCCCGGGACCCCCCAAAAACACCCCCGGGACCCCCCGGCCCCGCACCCGCACAACGCTGCCGGCCGCGGTCGTAAAACACTAACACAGCCGTAAAGCACCGCCAGCAGGAGGCGGGGCAGTCGCGAAAAAGCCGTAAAGCGAGGAGGGGGGGCATGGTTTACGTGAGATGACGTGCTCACGCGCTGGAGGGGCGTGGCTACGCACTGAGGGGGCGTGGTTGAAGTTGGGGCGTGGCCTAGCGGCGCGCCGCGGTTTGGGCGGGAACGGGTGGGGG